GCTATGTTGATTATTAATGTTCAATATTAAAAAGTTATGGAATCAACAATGCCAGCACATCTAAGAAATTTATTAAGGAAGAGACAAAAATAAGTGTTTTAATAGCTCTTATACAAATGTCTAGAGACTAAAAATTGAAGTGTAATTGAAAATGCAAATGGATTCTTACTTGAATTTTTAATGTAATGTTTTAATATGCAGAAACAAAGGCCTGGAAGTCAAATCCTTAAATTATATTAAACGCAAAATCTTCACTGACCTGGCTATGGATTTTACAAAAGTTTTATTTATGGGAAGATTTAAAAGTTTAAAAATAGTGAGTGATCTGTTTCTATTTTCAAGCTATGAAGCTCATTGTGTCAGTGGTATAGGGTGCAATTTACAGCGAAGTGGATGATCCCATCAGAGTTTGTGGGAGTAAGAGGGTAAGTGATAGCCTGTCATACAACAGTGTTCAGGAGTTTGAGGTAAAGTAGAAAAGTAAGGCTCCCTATCATGGCGCTACAGAAACCAGGAAGATGGTTAAAGGGCCTAACTTTGATTTCCATCCAGTTCTGCCCACACATAAGAGTTTGCTCAAGTCCATTCAGGTTGGGTGGGTCGCCAGTGTCCACTTATCCCTGGTAGTGGGTTTACTTCCCTTCCCGCATACCATTGTATTCAGACAAACCACCTATGTCCTCCCCCTGTGGAAAAGAGGAGTCATCTCCTTCTTAGAACACATTTCCTTCCTACAGGTCCTGGATGTTCCCTTGGTTCAAAACGCTAGTTCCCACATGGGCTGATGTGGCCCCCAAAGTGTTTCCTGACTGTATATTGTTAGTAAACTACTGTTAAGTGTGTCTGTCCTGTGTAAGATATTACAAGTTCAGCCATTTCATAAAACTCTGTGTAGAAATCCCCTTTTCACCTAGAGAATGAATAGTAGGGTATCAAATAAGCATGAAGTGAAAAGAGAATTTGAATCCACACTGTCAAATAGGATAGCTTCGGCCGACATGTGGCTCCTGTTTGTATAAACTGTGTTCTCAAAGCTTTAAGTGTTATAGGGATCAAATGCCAACTAGATTTTGAAGACCCAAGATAAACACAGAAAATATAAACATCTCAATATTTTAATTGTTTGTCTACTGATTTATCTTGGATGTTATTATATATTCATCATGGGAGAATACAGAAAATAATGTTGTTTGATACTTATAAATATATAATATAAATGTATATATATAATAAAGTGTTTTCATCTACAGAACAAAAGCTTTCGTTAGACAGTTGAAGTTGAGATTTGTAGAGACTCACAGACATTTTCTTGTAAGTTTTAAGTAAAGATTGACAGAATTAATTCTTTATTATACATGCCTTCGTAGAATATATTCTCACATCAACCACCATTAAACCTCTCATTTCTTGAGGAAACCAGAGGTCTCCATCTGACATTTTTTGGCAATGTATCCACTGGGCTAGAGAAGAATTACAGAGAGAAACTGAAAGAACAGAACTAATCAGTGAATAAACACAATGGTATCGTTGCGAGGTGGAAAGGCGAACCGAGCAAAGAAGGCTCTACTCACTCTGGATGTTGATCACCAGGGCAGGGCAGTGAGCAGTACAGAATTCTCTTTGGGATAATGATTAGCAAGATAGTTTCTCATTTGACCAAATACAATTACATATTTTATTAAACACATTTTATTATTAACAGAATTAGAAATCACACGTTCCTGTTTGATGGAAGGGAAGAGAGCCATGGTTAGTTATACATTATTTTTATGACTAATATATTTAAGCACAACTATTTCAACCATTGTGCTGTTATGCAAATATACTTTTAGTAATAGATTATAATAACCTCATGGGTAAATTTTTATTGTCTTTATTGTACAGAAAGAAAAAAAAAAACTGTGGCTCAGGGAAGTTCCACAAATTATCTAAGGCCACACGGCTACTGAGAGGCAGAACCGGGATGAAGGTGCCGAATTTGAAAACCCATTCCCGGGTTAAAGATTGATGTTTGTCATCCAGGGATTATGTATGCAATCATGAAGACAAGGGGAGGCGTAATAACTGCCACTTAAAGGCCAGCTTTTGGACAAACAACATCACTCCCGTGGCTGTACCAGCAGCAGGGTTTATTCGGAGGAAGAAATGGTCCCCCTTATGCTTGGGAGACAACGGCACTTTTAACAACTCGTTTCGGTCAACTCAGAGTTTTCTCTCTGCTTACCCAGGGTACCTCACTGGCTTGCAAAGAAAATTACTGGTGTGATCAAAAGCTCAGACACAACACATTTTTATATATTTGCACATTTTGAAGTGTATGTATAGTTTTCTGCCCGGATTGCATTCCTAAAGTTGATTTTGAAAAGAAAAATCAATATGAATATACTACTAGGTTAGACAGTCTGCTTTATGAAGTCAGTTGGCCCGTGTTATTTTTGAGTCCATCCACCTTTCTCATGAAAAAAGCACTTTCTGTCAACATCAGAAATAGCAGGCTTTAATATTGTTTCTATATAAATACCTTGTTTCCTGTAATTTAAAAGAGATTAATCAATAAGTCTAGAATATAGGTTACTTTGTATTACATTACATCAGTAATACTTAAAAAACAGAACAAGACTAAATATAAGTAAGGGTTGTTAAGTTTTAGGCATAAAAACACCTGTTAGACCTTTGTATGTGAGGTGTGTGTGTGTGTGTGTGTGTGTGTGTGTGTGTAAAACAAGTAGGGCTGTCTTTCATGTTTTTTGAAATTGTGTTTTGGTCATTGTTAAATAGAATCTAAATTTTATTTTAGTTGAATTTTCATAATATAGCTTTTAGGATTTAGTATCTGAAACAATTAAATTCTATTTTTACCATCAACAAAATGAAGTAGTTGATAGGTATATTTGTCCATCCTGCAAGGCCTCAAAAGTCTGGAAAGCAATGAGGAGACCATGCTAGCATGCTAAAGGATATAAAAATATTCTAATATTTAAAAAAAAGAAAATATTAAAGCTGAAATTTCCCAATTACTGCAGTGCAGAGCCTCATAGTCTAGATTCCTTCAAACTTTTAGATAAAATCTTCTTCATAATTAAATACAGTTGCTCATTTCATTATCAAAGAGAGCAAGAAAAATACACGTAATGATTCAGATAACCAGGAACAAGAGAGAAGAGTTAAGTTGGGATGACATTTTGCTTTCAGACATCGGTAGGTAGGTAACTGATATGGAGCCATTATTAAAATGTGAAAAATGCAGAAAATTCATGTCATTGCTAAGTTTGGTGATGCACTGGATGTTCTTGAGTTATATTGATATTATTTGATATGAAAATATCCATACTCTATAACTATCATTTTAGTCCCCTGTAAAGGAAAGAAGTTTTTTTTTCTTTAGGTTAATAAAATAATAATTAGAGCTGGGTATAGCACTGCCCACTTGTAATCCCAGTGCTGCAGAGGGGAAGGCAGGAGAACTGCATACTTGAAGGCAGGCTGGGCTAGATATATAATGGAACTGGGAGGGGAATGGTGAATAAATAATAGTTACTTTTTCACCATTTTAATAGAATGTATAATGGTTTTATGCAAGTAAAAAGGGTAAGACTTTAAGCCCTAAAGCTAAAAATGAAACTGGGAAATTATTGTGATTTATACCAATAAAGAAGAAAAAGAATCTCACATTTTTCTGGTAAAGGTCAAGAGCCTTTAGATAGGAGTGCTAAGAAAAACCAGAAAATAACCAGAAACCATAGTGAAATATAGATGACAGGTTGGTATAAAGAGACACCAGTGCTCTTTTACAATAGCCAGATCTCTCTCTCTCTCTCTCTCTCTCTCTCTCTCTCTCTCTCTCTCTCT